ACATCCGGAAGAGCCTTGGATTACAGCCTTTGCTTCTCCAGATTGAAAAGTCACAGCTGCGATGGCTTGGGCATGTGCAGCGAATGCCTTCAGAAAGGAAGGCTAAGCAACTGTTCCTTGCAAATCCGACCGGCAAAAGGCCCAGGGGACGGCCAAAGTTAACCTGGTGCAAACATATGAAAGGAGTCTGTTCCAGACTCCAGTTGTCTTTTGCCGAAGCTCAGACTCTGGCACAGGATCGGGAACGTTGGAAGCAGTGCCTGATGCATCTGTGACATGAAACGAGAAGAGGTCATGAAAGATGATGATGAAGGTGATGACATCAACTGCGGGGCTACCCTTATTTTGCGCTAGTTAAGTAGTAACGACTGTTACCCCAAGAGAATTCGCTTGTTTTATCGCAGCTGTTCTTTATTAATTATTATTCAGCAGCTTACTTTGGCAATTTCTTTGTTTTATGGCATTGCTTTGGCAAGAAGCATCTGTTAGTGAAAAGAAAAGACTAACATAGATCGATGTGTTAAACAATATCAGCTTATACGCAGAAGGCTGTCAAATCAACTGTCATATGAAATTTCACATTTCTGACTTCGATCAACTAATATTCAGTCAGAACAAAATAAACGAAGTTTGATGATTACTGAGGAAGGTGAGGTAATCAGGCATGCTGCATTTGCATATAAGAGTAATGGCTGACGCTATTCTCAGCTTCTCGAAATACCACTTGTTCAGAAACGGCAGAAACTTTGAATTTAAACAGCCATGAGGAGGTGCAATATCGATTTGGATATGTCGTGATACTGTTGATGTAGTTCATTTGTTCCGAAGCATGTCCGATAGCAAAACTACATACAATTCAAGATTTCATGCGTATTTCGTAATGGCAGTGAATTTTGTGCATGTTCTGATAGGACAGTGAGTTGCATGGACTTTGATTGATTGTTTGATTGATAAAGTCTTTCATGTAAATATTTGCCCATTTAGCAACTCGCCCCCTCGTCACGTTTTGCATAAAATAAACGAAGATACAACTTTCGTCGGTCCGACCCATTTGCTTACGAGATGACTATCACACATGTGCCGTTATGATCTGCATTTGTTGACTGTTAGTCAGTTCATCAACGTGTGCGGAACCAACTTTCGTAACACGAGCTCGTTCAGCGACAGTCACAGACGCCTCTCGGCAGAGAGTTACTACACCTGAACGTGTCTTGGCATCATTGGCATAGTTTGTTTCGTTCTGAATAAGTTATGACGGCGGTCACACCAGTTTGACAGGTTTCGCAACAGTCGCAAACTCATGCAACCTTCGTCGTGATCTACGTGCCTTTCCCCTCAGTACCAAAGTTGATGCGACATCCTTTCTGGCGTTGCCCATACTCATAACGAAATAGCGAAGCAAATCGTGAACACTACGAGATTTCTTGGATGCAAGGTTATTCTAAATCTTATGTACTCCTTATACTTAAGACTGGGTCTCTGTTTGTCAAGAGGAGGGGACATCCAGCATGTCCCATGAACGCACGATCCTCCTGGCATCATAGGTCAATAATATAATTCGTTCATTCATAACTCGTTCGTTTACCGA